CAGATGAACCAGTTTGCAAGGCAGAAATAGAGACATAGATGTAGAGAACAAACATATGGACACCAAGGGGGAAAGCGGGGGGTGGGGGGTGGGGGGGTATGAATTGGGAGATTGGGATTAACATGTACCCACTAATATGTATAAAATAGATAACTAATAAGAAAAAAAGAAAAATAAACTAATAAATGATAAATGTTTGATTAAAGAAAAAATTACAAAGGGAGGTCCCCTTGGACTCAGCAGTTCCACTTCTAGACATCTATCGTCAGATATGTGAAATGATTTATGCTCATGTTTGTAACAGAAAGAGACTAGAAATAACCTCCTAAAGGTCACCAATAGAGGTCTGGCATTTAAAGTCTATATATCCATACCAGGAAATACCATATAACACTGAAACACACACAAACACTGGAAAGAATAAAGAAGCTCTTCACATAACAACTGGATCCAAAACGTATTGCTAAGTGGAAACAGCAAGGGGTAAGTGTCTTAAAGTTGTTAATTAAAGCCCAGTCTATCCTCAAAGCCCATGCTCCTCCCAGTATATCACCCCCAAAAGAGTGTGAGGCCTTAGAGCATTTACTTTCTCAACTAAAGAGCTCCCATAAACCTCCAAGCATCTACACTTCACTCCTTTCTTCCCATCACCATAAAGCAAACTTAAACAGAGCTCTCACAGTACCCCACAAGAAAGATTTGGTGTCATCTCAACTAAGACTTACTACCCCTTGGTTCTTCCTATCTTCAGAGCAGAGTAAAAAGCACCTGAAATGTTCCCTGATTTTTTTTTTGGAATGCCTACAGACTATGTCTAAGCCTTTTAAAATTTTAACATGAAAATATGCTAAAAACGCCATGAGTTTTGTTTTTAAGGACATTAAAGTACAGCTAGCTAAGTCCCAGTGCAGTGCAGCTCAAAGCAAGTGAAGGCCGGCCCAAACCTCAGCACGCGGATCTCATCGCAAACCCCCATTTCCTTCTCACCGCTCACAGACCCCGGAGCAGGGCCTAAAGCAGACTCAGCAACTCCATATCCACCAGAAGGAGCCCAATTAGATTTAATACCACACAGGCTTAAAGATGATGTTTTTCAGCTGCAGTGCTAAGACAGGAAGTGTTCCATGGTACACATATTATTTATCGAGGGAACAATTCAAAGTGCAGAAAAATGTGTGTACTGGGAAAACAAATGTACGATTTTAAACATACATTTATGTATATGCATAAATGTTTCATGGAGAGCTAGACAAAAAAGGTAACAATATTTCCCACTGGAAAGAGGAAGAAGACCCGGCATTTAATATCCAGAAATCTTTTACCATATGCATAGCAGATTTGTTTTTTTTAATTAGACTCATTAAAACCTGTAAGTCTCTCTTTTTTAAATGATTACAATAAATGATTCACCTTAAAAACCCCACTGTTACAAAATAGATGTGTATTCATGACAAAAAAGGCCAATTGCCTAAAGAAATGCTCAGAGAAATGTATTTTCTATAATGTTAAAGCTATTTTAGTACAGTCAAGTGTTCCTTAAATCCAAGTAATAACTGAATGCCTCACATTTCAAACTTATTAGAACCTAACATTAAGCTATTTTTTTCTTTTTAAAAAAACAACACAGATTACAGCCATGTGACCTGATTTTCAAGTAGGTCGAACAGACCAGATTTGAATACAAACTAAATGCCTTTCTAGAATAAGACAAAGTGTACTCTGAGCCTACATGTTTAATATGAGCGGGCTGACAGGGGTGGAGGGGTGGTGGCGGGCCGCGGAGGCTGAAAATGAAACAGATGAGACCGTCTTTCTAATGAGACATAATTTAACAGATCCATTAAATTCTTCTCATATGAAGTCCTACCTCTTTCAACTTTAAAATAAAATTTTGCCAGCAGTTTTATGGTAGACTTGTCATGAATTTTAAAGTTTAATGCTAAGAGAAGCTGGCTTTGGGATAAAGATCAATCTACCTGATGAAATGAACTCAATTTAGAGTATGACTGGCTTGCCACAAAAAGTCTGCTTTTCTATAGCAAAGTTTTCAACACATCAAACTATAGATACCCTTAATAAAGTAACACAGAAGCTGCAGTCAGATCTCACTCCTAGAAGATAATACAGGATAAAATCCAGATGACTTTGGGTGTGCTGATGGCTTTGGGGAAACACCACCAAAGACATGATCTATGGAAGAAATAACTGATAACCTGGACTTCATTAAAATTAAAAACTTCTGCTCTGTGAAACATAATGTTAAGAAAATGAAAAGACAAGCCACAGACTGGGAGAAAATATTTGGAAAAGACATCTGATAAAGGACTGTTATCCAAAATACACAAAGAACTCTTAAAACTCAACAATAAGGAGAAAAAGCAACTCAAAAAAAGGGGCAAAAAAATCTGACCAGACATCTCACCAAAGAAGACATACAGATGGCAAATGAGCAAATACAAAGAGATGGTCCACATCACGTGTCATCAGGGAAATGCAAATTAAACGAGACACCACTACACACCTATTAGAATGACCAAAGTCCAGAACACTGATGACGAATGCTGGAATGCAAGGACAGGACGCAAGAGGAACTCTCATTTATTGCTGGTGGGCATGCAGATTGGTACAGTCACTTTGGAGACAGTCTGGTTTCTTACAAAACAAAACATACTCTTAGCCTATGATCCAGGAATCACACTCCTTGGTATTTATCCAAGTGAGTTAAAAACTAATGTGCACACAAAACCCTGCACATGATGTTTTACAGAAGCTTTATGTACAACTGCCAAAACTTGGAAGCAACCAAGATGCCCTTCTGTAGGTGAACAGGTAAACTGGTACATGCAGACGATGGAATATTATTCAGCGTTAAAAAGAAATGAATTACCAAGCTGTGAAAAGACAGGGAGGACGCTTAAATATACTGCTCCGTGAGTAAGAGAAACCAATCTATAAAAGCTGCATATTTTATGATTCAACTCTGACATTCTGGAGAAGACAAAACTACAGAGACTAAAAAGATCAGTGGTTGTGGGGCTGTAGGAAGGGGTGAACAGGCAGAGCACAGAGGGTTTTTTGGGCAGTGAACCTCCTCTGTATGGCACTATTAATGGTGAGTTCATGTCATTACACATTTGTTCAGACCCACAGAATGAACACCAAGAGGGAACCCTAATGTAAATTGTAGACTTTGGGCGATAATGATGTGTCCATAGAGGTTTACTGGTTGTAACAAATGGGATTTTGCTAGTATCAGGGGGAGGCTGTGTCTGTATGGGGACAGGGGGTATATGGGAACTCTGCATTTTCCACTCAATTGCTGGGTACCTAAAAATAATGACTAGTAAAACACACATACAAATACACAGTGAGAAAAAAAGGTATAGACTGTAATTCTGTAAACTTGAAGATCAGGAAAAAAGTTTTAATAAATGTATCACTAATGGTTGCGTCTAGGAAGTATATATGTGGGTGTTCAATGTCCTTTCCTTCCAACTTTTCCTTGTAAGTAATTTAACTTAGGAGGAAAAAACGTGTTTTAGGATTCATTAGGAGAAATACAAGCAGAACATAGGAAGAATCAATTTAAAATTTTTAACAGTTCATTCAGAAACAACAAATATTGCTTATCTTTGACCAATAATAGTTATTTACAAAATTAAATAACTCTGTAACCACACTTAAACTGCATATAAATTCTCAACATTGTATTTAAGAGAGCTGCTATTAAAAGTAACCATAAAGGGCTTCCCTGACGGCACAGTGGTTAAGAATCCACCTGCCAATGCAGGGTACACGGGTTGCAGCCCTGATCCAGGAAGATCCCACATGCTACGGAGCAGCTAAGCCCGTGTGCCACAACTACTGAGCCCGCGTGCCTAGAGCCCGTGCTCTGCAACAAGAGAAGCCACCGCGATGAGAAGCCCACGCACCGCAATGAAGAGTAGCCCCTGCTCGCCACAACTAGAGAAAGCCCGCGTGCAGCAATGAAGACCCAAGGCAGCCAAAAATAAATAAATAAAATAAATAAATTTACAAAAATAAAGTAACCATAACATTTTGAGATTTAAAAAATAAAGAGTAAGGTGAGCACTAATACCACCAAAACTTGATTTCTGAAAGACACTTCAGATAGGGACCATATTTAAATGCTTAATCAAGGGCATTTAACTCCTATAAAAAAATGTCTTATCAAGACGAGACAACTTCAGTTCCAAGGGAAGTTATTTAGAACCAACTGGGAAAGAAACAATCTGGTGAACTATTTACAAGTCCTGAGAAGAAAGATACCGATCCCCATTAACTTCCGTTACAGGCCACCAGCAACAGGAAAGTTTCCGAACATTTAACAAACAAGAAACTGTATGACCACCGTCATTTTAAAAATAAAATAAAGAGCTGAATTTCACTGCACATGGAAAGGAACGCCGCGTTGGGGATGAGATGGAGGGAAGCATTTGTAGCGCAGACAGGATCCACCTGGGATCCTTTTTAATTAAAAAATTCTAAACATTCCAGGCACATCTCTGAACTTGTAAGGCCAGTGTCTTTCTGTATAAAGGACATCTGCCTTCTTCCTCCAGCCAAAGGTTTAAACATAGGTGAAGGTCTGCTGCTTATCCAAACAAGTATGTAGCACACTTAGCGCGCTGCTTTGGCCCCCACCGGTCCAGGCCTTGCCCGTGAGTCCGCCCCGGCGTGGCGCGGTCCCCGTCCGCAGCAAGGCCACGGCCTGAGGTTCCTGGGTGCGCGCCCTGTGCCCTACCACCTCCGGGGACTGCGCCCGCGGTCCCGAACCCGCGCGAATGGGGTGGCGGGGCGCGGGATTCAGTCACTCCTAACGTGGAGGGTCACCACGAGCCACGCGGTGGCCCCGGGACCAACCTCGGGATCCTAACGGGCCGCGCGGCGCGGGCCTCACCTGCGCACCCCACCTGTGCGCCTCTCCAACCGCGCAGCGCAGGCCTCACCTGCGCCCTCCCCGACCCGCGCCCCCTCACCTGCGCGGCGGCGGCGGCGGCGGCGGCGGCGGCGGCGGCGACGGAGGGCGGCGGCCCCGCCCGCAAGCCATCCTCCTCCTCTGGGGGCTCGTCCAGGAGCACCCGGCTCCGGCCCAGCTTCCACATGCTACCGGGCGGGCGCCGGCGTCCGCGCGTCCGTGCGCCCGTGCGCGCCCCTCCTCGGCCGGCCCGCAGCGCGGACGCACCGGCTACGGCTCCTGCAGGACCGGACGCGGCCAGTGGGGCCGGGCGGGGCCGGGCTGTGGGGCGGGCCCACCTCCAGGACCGGGCCCTCCCCACCCCCACCCCGCCCCGGCCCCTCCCGGACCGGACCCGGTCCCCGCACCCAGCGAGACCCACCGTACGCCCGGGACCGGGCCCACCTCCAGGCCGGGCCACACCCCCCGAGCCCCCATTTCCCCTGCTCACGGTCCCCCCACCCCAAGTCACCGCCCCTCCGGCCAGGCCCTGACCCCAACCGACCCTCCCACACCTCCAACGAGGCTCCTCCTCCTCCCAGCGAGGTCCCCGCCCCCCACATCACTCCACGAGGTCCTTACCTCGGGTCCCCACCCCAAGCTGACCCCCCCTCACACCTCACCCCCCACCACGGGCCCCTCAACACCTCGGGATGATATCCGAACCCCCGGCCGACCCCCTCACCCTCCACCCGGGATCACCTCTCACCCGGGGCCCCTTAACCTGGCCCCCCACTCATCTCGGACCGCCCCCGCTCACCCCTCAGCCCGAGGCCCCCGCAACCCGGGCGGACCTCCTCACCCCTCAGCCCGGGATCCCCCACAACCCGAGCTGACCCCCTCACCCCTCACCCCGCGGGGGGGCGCGGCCAGGTCTGCGGGGCAGCGGCGCGGGGGGCGGGGCGGCCGGGGCTTCGGTCACCATGGCGACAGCCGCCGGACGCGGAGAGGGCATAGTGCGCATGCGCACACCCCTGGGTCCGCGGCTCGAGGGCGCGGTGGGCGGGACTGGAAGTGGTTCCAGTTCCCGCCAGGGCGCTCCGCCCCCGTGCCTGGTGGTCCCGGGGCTGCGCAGCAGCCCAGCCGTTCGGGTGGGGACCTACGCGAATGGTGGCCGGGACCCCCGAGGGCGGAGGCACTGGGCACGTGGACCTGCCGGGGGGAGGGTGCGGCCGAGCCCCGGAATGGGCAGCAGGCGGTGGGCTCGGCCGGGGCGGATGCAGGGACCGTGTTCAGCCATAGGCAGGGGGAGGGACGCGAGCTTCCAACGCCTCCACGTTAGGAGCCCAGGGTCCGAGGGAAAAGTGGGCAGCTGCGCTGGCCAGGCCGCCTTGGAACCCGCCGTGGTGCTCGCTGGTCCCTCGCATTCAGGGAGCCTGACGTTGACGAGCAAGTAAGATGTGGCACACGTGGTGTAGTTCACAGGCAGTTGAAGGGACTTTGACAGCTAATTATGACAGCTGAAAATTGTTACTTTTTCTAGGTAAGATAGGTTACGGCCACAGTCACGGCGAACGTGACAGGGCCCCCGCCCGAACCCCAGCCTGGGGCAGAGGAGGACCGGCCCGAAGTGTCCTCTGGCCTCTCACCAAAACTCAGAAGCAGGAGAGGTACCTCACACATTCCCAAGTACAAGATGACTTTGATTTCATGTCTCACAAAAGAGCCAAACAATAAAATATAAAAAGATATTCAACTCCATTGTAATGAGGGAAATGCACATAAACATGAAATGCCCTTTTCCTGCCTATCAAAGTGGTAAACATTTGCAAAGCTGTACCCAGTGTTGGGAAGCACCTAGAGAAACTGGTAGCTGTGCAGGGAAATAAGCTGCTGGTGGCGTGTAAACAGTACAACGCTTTTGGAAGGCATCCATTTGTTAGTATCTATCACAATTTTAATGTGCAGACGCGCTGCCCAGCAAATTACCATCCACAGAGAAACTTTTTACTCGGTATAGGTCAGTATTGCTTATGTTTTCACACCAAACGTGTATTACTTGAGGGACTTAAAAGTACATTTTATAAAAAGAATCCAGAACTCTAGGCTTGTATAAACATTTTCTTAAGCTTTGTATCTACTACTGTGAAAAAAAAAAATCAACTGTACCTGTTGGGTTTTTCCAGAAATGATTAGCAGCAAAATTTTTTAAATGAAAAGAGGCTCTGAGTCTGTCTTTGGAAGAGGCCTGCAGGAGCCCCGAGAACAGACCCAGGGCACGGGGGCCCTGTCAGGGTTAGTGGTTAGGGCATGGAGGGGGAAAGCCGAATTTTACATACCAACCAGCTACCTGGAAAGCAAGGCCATGGCAAGAAGCCCAGTGGTCCCCACCTTCCCTTCTCAGTGAGTCGCGAGGGTCAGGAGATAAACACACAGGCACACAAATATCTCTGGGCCCACCAGGCACAAATATTACAAACTGATGTGAAACCCCAGAACACCCACTGAAGAATAATCTACCCAGTAGAAATTAACTCGTTCTTCATGGGAATATAAAAGAATGATAAAATTATATATCTACACACCTTTTCAAACCAGGTCAAATAAGCTTGGTCTTCTGGACTGGAAAGACTTCAGGATGGAAATACTGAACGTAGACATGGTGATGGTTCTAAGATGTGCTACCTACACACGATGAATTTGTACCTGGGGCCCACAGGGCTCTGTCAAAATAAACATACTGCAAGCACAAACATTGAGAAAAATCAGAAACAATAAAGTAGAGGTTACAAAACAAAGCCAGGATCTAAACACAGCCCCTTCAAGGTCACTACAAACAAAACAGAACAGTAACTCAGAACACTTCAACAAATAACACGGATGCCTTTATTCTCACCAAGAGAGCACGGGGCCTGTGCCGGACCACTGGCTTCCTTTGTCTGGCATATCTGCATTTCTCTGCTTTGAAATTTTTCTTTATAAATTAATCTGCAACCTCCTGCAAATCCAGTCCGATCTGGAATAAGAAGGCCAGGCTAACTAAATAAAAAAGCTAAATTCCAGTATATTTAAACAATGTTTTGCATTATTTCTAGGAGAGCTCAGGAGGGAAGTCCTGCAACCCAAAGCACAGCGCCTGAGGCGAGCAGGAGGGGGCTGGTGACTGAGCTTCAGGCATCCTGGAATTCTGAGCACTTCTCCGGAGTCCTAGGAATTTGGCCCTAGTCATTCATTTACTCATTTATGACTTTTATAAAATTAAGTCACACTATTGTTAAAGTTCTGTAAGAGGTGTGCTTGACACAATTCAGTGTCACAAAAATACAATGGTTACTGGGCTTCCCTGGTGGCGCAGTGGTTGAGAATCCACCTGCCAACTCAGGGGACACGGGTTCAAGCCCCGGTCCGTGAAGATCCCACGTGCCATGGAGCAACTAAGCCTGTGTGCCACAACTACTGAGCCCACATGCCATAACTACCGAAGCCCGCGTGCCTAGAGCCCGTGCTCCACAACAAGAGAAGCCACTGCAATGAGAAGCCTGCGCACCACAATGAAGAGTAGCCCCCGCTCTCTGCAACTAGAGAAAGCCCGCACGCAGCAACAAAGACCTAACACAGCCAAAAATTAATTAATTTTTAAAAAATACAACGCTTACACATAAGAATCCATTTCTAGATCTAGAAAGACATGGTTACAGAGCCTTTCATTTACTGAGCTCTCCTTGGAGGAAGCTACTAATTTTAGCCTGAATTGCTCTTATTGGCTAATAGAGTCCTGAAAATTCACTGGTGTAGGAACTCTGTTAACAAAGATCAAGTGTGCCATCCCTGTTTGAAGGATGTTGAATCTCAACTTAGTGAGATTTTACTCTGGCAAAATTAGTTTTAAAGGAGTGATGTCTGGGGCACCACACAGAAGCTTCCAGCAACCAGAACTTGAGTGAACTAAGTGGCCTCCAGAGATGGGTCCACACCCCGGGAAGGGATGGTGCAGAGGCGGATCTGAGCAGCAAAGGGAGCTGGATTTGAAGTCATGTTATTCCAGTTACGTGGGCCATGAAGCCAGGCGTATCCGACGGAGTTCGAGCCTCCACAGGCTGGTGGTTTTGTTACCCAAAAAATGGGTTCGCCTCTTGATGGTTGGCGAGCCAACAGACACAACCAAGCCAAAGACGGAGGGGAGGGATTTACTATTTACTTGCAGCAAGTAAGGAGAACACCGGGAATCTTAAGGCAGTGTCTCCCCGACAGAAAAACTGAGGAAGTTTTAAGCTAGGATACACGCATATTCGTGAGGGGCTTGAGCAGAGGAGAAGGCAGCATAGAATTGGGGCAAAGGTCGACAGAGTCCAAGCTCTAGTTGATTGAAGTCAGGAGGGTCACCGTCATTGTTCCAACCTCCACTGGGGAGGGGGCCTTAGTTCCCTCAGAGGTCAAGGATGTATTATTAGGCCTATCCCTCGAAGAGGAGCTAGGACTCTGCTTATCACTGCAGTACTTTTTTTTTTTTTTTCCAGTACGCGGGCCTCTCACTGCTGTGGCCTCTCCCGTTGTGGAGCACAGGCTCCGGACGCGCAGGCTCAGCGGCCATGGCTCCCGGGCCCAGCTGCTCCGCGGCATGTGGGATCTTCCCGGACCGGGGCACGAACCCGCGTCCCCTGCATCGGCAGGCGGACTCTCAACCACTGCGCCACCAGGGAAGCCCATTACTGCACTACTTTTGACTGCTGCTTCTCTGTTCCTGCATTCCTTTGTTCCCTTAAGATTAATGACTGAGACCCGTTCAAGGGCAAGCACCGTGGCCAGGCTTAGATCACAAAATGGGTTCTCTTATGTCAAGAAAGCCATTCCTAATTCTCTCTCTCTGGGGACCCCCTAACCTATCTGCTTGCAGTTCCATTCGCCACATCGAAGGCCCACGTGGAAACTGCCATACCCCTGCAATGCGCTTTTATCAAAAGCGAGGGAACTGTCATTGACAACACCTGGGGATTAAGGGGTAAGATCACTGTGGCCTTGAAGGTCAGCCTTCACGCCCTGCTCTGTTACCAGGTTACCTAGTATCCTCCCGACCAGGCTTCCGTCTGGACTCCCTTACCTGTAGGTATTATTAAAATGACATTCTGTACCTTTCACACCTTCTCAAGTACATCCTATACCCAGTGCGGTACTGAGAACAAAACTTGCAGCAAGAATTCACTGATTTGATCACTAATTCCATTCTGTGGTGTTGATAGAAGTGAAACAAAACTACAGCTTACTGAGTGCTTACTACACACTAGGCATTTGCTGGTACTTTACACATGTTATC